AAAAAATATATTGTGTACACACACACACACACACACACACACACACACACACACACACACACACACACACCCCTCTCCTATTCCTGGAAATGCTAATTGGCTGGCTGTGTCTGCTTTTCTCTTTCCTGGTTTCTTCTTTTCCCCTTTTATCAGCATGCAGCCTACATATCCAGGCACAACCTTTCCATCATTCTAATGACATTCCTTATTCTCGATCCAACGATGTCATCACTGAATCTAAACTGGATCCAATTGCAGGGTGAACTTTTGTGGCATTTAGAAAATTAGAATGGAAATGTAATCTGCGGGTAGATTGCCCTTCCTTAAAGGAGAACTATGAGGTGCGTGCTTTCCACTCACCTCATAGTTCTAGCCGACCTGTGACAATGAGACTGTCACAGGTCGGCTCAGTAGATCGGGAGGTGAGCGAACACATACCGGGTTCGCTCGCCTCTCGATCCTGTCACGGCTGGATTCCCCCCTCCCCGATCCGCCAGCGCTGACTGGTGGAACGGACGGGGGAGGGGGCGGGTACAGCTGGCTCTGCCTCTAGATAGGCAGAGCCAGCTGTCACTCATGCAGCTGGGCGGATCCCGTCATCTAAGTCGGGATCCGCTCCAGGTGCGGCGTCTCAGTATACCGCAAGCTGTAGCTCGCGGTATACTGAGCTTAGGGTAACGGGAGGACGCTAGTTTGTGTCCTCCCGTTACCCTGAGGAGAACTATGGGGAAAAACACTGACCCCATAGTTCTCCTTTAACCAATCACAGAATCTTTCATTAAAACATTTCCATTCTCGCGCCTTATTGTAGAGCCAGCAATAGGGAAGCACTGATACTAGTATTGGTGCCGATAAGAGTATTTGGGCGAGTACTCACTTAAATGCTCTGATACTTACTCCCGATACCGAGGGAGATTTCCCCCGACAGCCAGTACCGTGAGGGAACACGGAGCCGGCAAACTAGGAAGCCGGCCGGCAGGTAATGACTCACCGCCCAGCTTCCTGATTGGCCAGGAAGCCGGCTCCATGTTGATCGGCAGGGAAGCCGCCTTCGCGGCCAATTGGCATCGAGCCGGTCAAACAGCATGGAGCTGACTTCTCGGCCAATCAGAAAGCCTGGCAGAAGGTAATGACCCGCCTTCCTGATTGGCCATGAAGCTGGCTGCATGCTGATTGGCTGGGAAGCCGACTTCCTGGCCCCTCAGCATCGAGCTGACTTGCCGGCCAATGAGGAAGCCGGGTGGCAGGTAATGACCCATCTCCCTGATTGGCCAGGATGTTGGCTCCATGCTGATTGGCTGGGAAGCAGACCAATCAGCATGGAGCTGGCTTCCCAGGCAATCAGGAAGCAATGCAGCAGGTAATGACACGCCGCCCGGTTTCCAGATTGCCTGGGAAGCCGGCTCAATGCTAGTAGAAGTATCGGTACTTGGTATCAGCGAGCACCGAAAGATAAATATCAGTATTAGATACCGAAAAACCAGTATCGGTGCATCCCTCCCCAGCAATGTCATCACTGGGTACTTTGGTGGCATGTAAAATGGGAGTTTGATCTGCTTATATTTGCCCTTCATGCTCCCCAAATCATTTTACTAACAGAAGTTTTCAAGAAAAACCTTTCTGTTCTTATTTTAGACTCAGTGATATCATCACTGGGTCTCTGTGCAATGCAGGCAGATCACGGCTGGTGGGAGGGGACAGGAGAGTGCTGTACATAGCTTCCTGGAACCATCACAACACCCTGCCTCAGTACTGCTCTCCAGAGCCCTCAGCCCTGATGAAGTAGGCTGTCTCTTAGTAGTAGGACATTAAAGTACAAGCTGGTTCCAAGGATCGGGCGAGTTTAACTTCATTATATTTGTACCAAGACCAAAACGGGCACTTAACCCTTTGCAGTGCGGGGGTAGCCCTACTGTTAAGGGTTAATAAAAAGTTCCCCTGGAGTTCTCCGTTAAAACTGGTCTGCTGCCCGGGTATTGTTTTTCTTTTGTTTTTCTAAAGTGGAACGTCAGCCTTTGTATTTTATTGTACTGGAGAGAATGGGAAGGGTTATATAATGTGACATTTTTGTATGGGGGGGCCTGTGCTCCATGGGGGGGGGGGGGGGGGATTTCCATCACTTGCTCTCCTGGTGGTACAAGTCACTGATCAGGAAGTGAAGGTAAACCTCCCGCAACAGGGACACGGGGCTACAATAGAGGCGCTCCATGCAGCACGTCAATGTGTCCGTGTGATGCAATTTGCAGAGATCCAGAGTAGCCCCGATGACCTGTATGTGTCACCGATTACATATTTCATATGGAAAACGTAGAGATTAGATTGCGTCTGTGCGGTGAGGGAAAAAAAGAAATACAGATTTCATGCAAGTCAAAAAATGATTACATTATATTAAACAGCAACAAGGGAGCAAAGGTCACAAGGTGACGCTCATCAAAGGTGGCGGAAGAGCACTTAAAGGAGAACTATGAGGGGGGTGCTTTTCAGTCACCTCATAGTTCTAGCCGACATGTGACAATGAGACTGTCACAGGTCGGCTCAGTAGATCGGGAGGTGAGCGAACACATACCGGGTTCGCTCACCTCTCGATCCTGTCACGGCTCTCTCCCGTGACAGGGGAGGGGCTGGATTCCCCCCTCCCCGCTCCGATCCGCCAGCTCTCGAGAGAGATTGGGGGGCTGAGGGCTCTCCAGAGGGATGGGGGGGCTGAGGGCTCTCCAGAGGGATGGGGGGGCTGAGGGCTCTCCAGAGGGATGGGGGGGCTGAAGGGGCAGGAAGGGCAAATATAATCAATTTAAACTTCCATTTTAAGTGCTACAAAAGTACACCCTCCAACTGAAGTGGACACGTCACAACAAATTCATGAGCCTCCACAAGTGATCACGTGTTCCCAGCTCCTTGATACTGTTACTGGTCTCCGTTATTCTGTCCGCCTCTTGTACGTATATTATGACACAATGTCCAGAGAAATCTCAGCGCATAGAACCAATTGTGAAAAAAAAAGACAAAAAGAACAGAAATACCTCTTGGGATCCCTTTCGCTTCTGCCCATCCTGTCCCGGGTCCTCTATGCACAGGGCCCCCGGGATGTGGCCCTTGGCTCTGTGTGATTCTCCTGGGTTGTGGCCCCAGCCTTTCTGCTTGACCGCTCACTTGGTGAAGCTGTGGGTGCGTCCAGCTAGTTTTGGGGTTCGGCGGCGGGTGGGCAACGTCAAGACATTTAAGGGCCGAGCGAGGTGAATGAAGATATTGTGAGATGAGTCGCGGGAGGCAGTTGCACGGAGGGGGGGACTTCGATGTGTGGTCCACGTTCCCCGGGGGAACACTAAGAACGAGGCTCCACCCTATATTATCAGTCAGCTTCCCCTAGAACAGTAATAGACGGCTTCCCAATGAAGATCCCAATAACAGTAATGTGTCAGCACCCCAGTGGAGCTCCGTGTGACAGGAGGGCTCCAGACCCAGTGACAACAATTGCTAGACTCCAGATAGGGGCCTACCAGACAGTGACTAGTCGGCTCCCAGGAGGGGCCCTTGTAACAGTATTCCAAATATATGAGGGGCCCCTATTGAGAGTAATGGCTGGTCTGCAAAACTGTGTATAGTCACGTGACAGTGATGTGTGGGCTCCTATAATGGGGTCCCTGTGAAGGGTGGGCTCTTAAGGAGGGGCCCTGTGACAGTGGCAGGTGGGCTTTTATAAAGGTCCCCCTGTGACAGTAACGTGTGGGCTCCTACAAAGGGGCCCCTGTGACAGGTGGTCTCTACTTAGGGGCTGCTGTGACTGGTGGGCTCATATGAAGGAGCCCTTGTGACAGTGAAGGCTGGGCTCCTATGAAGGGCCCCCTGTGACAGTAATGTGAGGGCTTCTGAGTGGGTGCCCCTGTTATAGTGATGTGTGGGCTCGAAATTGGGGCCCAGGTGGATGACTTAGCTTCTGTTAGGGCCCCTCAGAGCTGTCTAGGCCCTAACTAGGTCTCTCAGTGACGGTGGAGACCCTCAGTGACAGTGATGCCTGGCCCCTGTCAGGGCCCCACCAGTGACAGTGCTGGTCTCCAGTCAGTCAGGAGCCGCGCTCCTCCTGTCAGCTTGTAGGTCCGGTTTCCGTCCCAGGCTCGGGACAATCACACACACAAACAGGGCCCGCCCTCCGCTGATCCCCGGTCCCTCTTGTTGACTGACTCAGTCCAGTCGCGTCCCTGGGGCTGCGGCCTCGCCACTAGCACGCCTGCGCAGTCTACGTGACGTCACCGCCAGCACCAGCGAGGAAGCATGTAAACAAAGCAAGAGCGTCTCACACCGACACCGAGAAAGCACATGAGGGCCCGTACCGTCCGCAGCAGCGCCACCGCCGCGCAGCGGCCAATACGTGAACGGCACCTATTATGGTGAGCACACCGCAGCCATTCACTGTCATGTGTCTCATGCCACCCCTGCTGTATATTAACGATCGGTTTGATCGTGTGACTGCTGCAAAACATTCACTGCCATCTCCTCTCTGTGATGTATAAAATATACGACCATCTAGTCATTTCATGCATCATTATCTATCCCGCATAATGGACAATCATGGTCACGTGATCTGCTGTCTATAAACAGCAACCTTTCAGAGTCATCATTTGACTATTTTGGACCAAATGCAACCATTCAGTGTCATCATCTATGATACATTAGTCATGTGTTATCACCATGTGTCCACAGAGACTGGCATCATTTTTTTTAAAATTTAAAATGAACCCTAGTACCTATACAAGCCAGCAATAAATAAATTCCTGATACCAGAATATACTGCAACATGATCATTTTATCAATATGAAGCCAACCTTGGGGCTCCAGTCTCTGCCTTGGCTAAGATGATGTCATCAGTCTGCTGCAGGCAGGTGGGAGCATTTCCTCAGTCTCCCCTCCCCCAGTGATCAGACTGCAACATTGTGACTTGGGTGAGTAACAAGGCTGCAGAAGAGACTGATCTGTGTCAGACATTTGTGATCAGACACTGGGATTTACATAATTGTGTCATCTCTATGTCATCTCATTCCAGTAGAAGTAGACTCTGACCTTGGATGATGCCTGAACAAAGATGGTGTCATCCTTCTGGAGAGGAAATCAGAAGAAGGCATTGTCAGTACTGTGATCTCTGTGAGAGGTAAACCAACATTCTAATATGTATGGACCAGATGTAATCAAAGGCAACACATTCCAAAAATGTATATATATAAAAGGGGAATTCTATAGAGCATGAAGTGGCCAACTCCATCCCTCCAGCTGTGCTTTAACTACGAATCCCAACAAGCCTGTAACTGTGACTTGCAATGCCTCATGGGACTTATAGTTCCACAACAGTTGGAGGGCCAGAGTTGCCCACCCCTGCAATAGAGTGACGGCTTTGGGGCTGCTGAGATCCCATCGGCCCAGCGGCGGTCTCGGGGGGGGACAAAAAAAAACAGAGGGGAAATCCAAAAATTCTGAGTTGTCACCAGAGGAAAAGGTGAGGGGGAAACCCTCTTGTGGTGACACCCGTTCCTGTGACAACTCTTTAACATAGGAATTCTGTTCACCTTGGAGAGATTTCCTCTAATTTCCTTCTGCATCTGCAGGACAGGAAGTAAAGAAAAATCTCCCCTTTGGGTCATCTCCTGCAAATAATTTTTCTCACGACTCTTTTGAAGTCCGCCAACCTGGGTGGTGCTGACAGGGCCACCCATGGAGAGAATGTGGGTCAGTTCAGCAGGAGATTCGAGCTGTGTGGGTGGCCGTCCAGTAGCAGAGGGAAACATTGTGTCAGTTTTATCAGACGCGGCCGGGGAAGAGCTGCCATTGCCGATCCAAGCTGCATTGGCTGCTGGGGGCAGCTATCAATCACAGAGTAGGACATTTACTGTCACGATGACAGCTGGTATCGGAAGTTACATGAGTGGCCTGAGGAGGACTCTAGAGTGTATGCGATACGCCTTAGAGCAACTGTAGGCAAACTCCAGCTATGGTGGAACTACAAGTCCCATGAGGCAGTGAAAGATTCTGACAGCCACAGGCATGACTCCCAGAAGCAGATGCATGATGGGAGTCGTAGTTACACCACAGCTGGAGGGCCGAAGGTTGCCTACCCCTGCCCTAGACCAAAACTAGCAGTTAGCCCGCGCGGAGGGGCACATCCTTGAGTTCTTCTTTAACATGAGACCTCATTCTGCACAGTGATCTGCTGCGTTACTATAGAACAGTGGTTCTCAAACTGTGGGTCGTGACCCAAAAGTGGGTCACAACCCACAGTTGAGGGGGTCCCCACATGCCCCCACATCCGCAAGGTGCACGGCCAGCCTCAGAGAGGTTTTGCTATTATGACCTGACCGTCCTCATCTCCTCACCATCCTGACCGTCCTCACCTCCTCACGAAAACCTCTCTGAGGCTGGCCGTGCACCTTGCGGTTGTCTGCGGATTTTCACCTTGCACCCGTGCACCTTGCGGTTGTGCCTTGGATGAGCAGCCCCTCAAGTCTGTGTAAAAAAACTGTGATAAACTGTTGAAAACTTTGAGTGAGCAACAGCAAGTGGATTGTCCAGCTGGCAGCCATTAGCGCCAAGAGCTAAAGAAAACTTTTTGCTTGGATGCTTACAGTAGAGTTGAGAGACGCTTACCTCTATATGCCAATTGCGGACACCTATCAGGCCTTTTTAAGGTTTGCGGTGGGACGAGATCATGTTGCCTTCCATTTGGCCTGTCGTCAGCTCCGAGAACTTTCTCAAAGGTCTTTGTGACCCTCATTGCTCTTTTGAGATTGAAGTGGAAAAAGCATATACCATTATCTGGATGACATCCTTTTGCTGGCCCAGTCGCGACAACAGATTCTGCAGCACGGACAGTTGGTGTTGAAAAGTTTTCAAAAATATGGCTGGCTGGCGAATTGGCAGAAGAGCCAGCTTGTGCCAGCACAGACTCTAGAATACCTAGGTATGATATTCCACTCAAGGGCATGGAAACAAATTCTTCCAAGAGAGAAGATCCATTGAGTCATCCGCTTGGCCGACCTACCGTGTTTCCCCGAAAATAAGACACTGTCTTATATTTTTTGGGGCTCAAAAAAACACACTAGGTCTTATTTTCGGGGTAGTTCTTATTTTTTTTTTAATGTACAACACTCCGCACTTATTCATGAACAAAAATATGGTGATCAGGGCAATCAGGGGTGCCGTACCTTTCCAAGAGCAATTTGCTAACCAATCGCTGACCAGAATGAGTGAAGCGCACTTTCACTATCGATTCCTCACAGGCGGAGTGCATTTGGTATCACTCCGCCTGTGACAGGAGCCGGCGCTATAGAGGAGGCATCGGCTTACGCGGCTCTGCTCCCTGCGCTGCCGCCTCGCTTCCTCTAGCGCTGGCTTCATTGGCACCGCTGATTCTCCCACGGCTCTTCAAGTTCCCCCTTATGCCACCACCGGCCCTGGGGCTGGTCACAACTAGGTCTTATTTTCGGTGTAGGTCTTATATTTTAGTAATTCCCAAAAATAGTACTAGGTTTTTTCTTTCGGGGTAGGTCTTCTTGTCGGGGAAACAGGGTAGTGATGAGATCATCAGGTTGCACTGCAAGGACTTGCCTCAGTTTTCTGGGAATTCTTTCTTCTTCGATTCCAGCAGTGCACTGGGCTCATTGGCACATGCGACACATCCAATACTCGTTCGTTCATCAGTGGGACAAGAAATCATTGTCCTAGTCGATTTTCCTGCCGTGGATGGTCAGGAACAGTTTGAGATGATGGCGCAATCTGCGGAATTTAGCAGAGGGCAAAGATCTCCAGCCTGGAGACTGAATCACAATTACATCCAATGCTGGCCTAAAAGGATGGGGAGCCCATTGCTTGGGTCACCAGGTTCCGGCCAAGTGGCTGACTTGGATGCCAGGTCACTGGAATGCATTCGAATTGCATGCGGCATTCCAAGCTCTGGAGACCTTTCGTCATATGGTCATGGGTCGTCATATGAAACTCCACGTAGGCAACAAGACGGCAATATCTTATGTCGTTCGGCAGGGAGGAACTAAAAACCTTTCCCTTCTGAAGATTGCTTCCAGTGGCGTAACTACCACCATAGCGACCCACGCGGTCGCTATGGGGCCCGGGGCAGAGGGGGGCCCGGTCATGGGGGCGAGGGGCTCAGGAGTATACGTGGAGGACGAGACCCGGCTGCTG